GACTGGGTTGGTTTGCTGGAAAGCTGATAGAGCTGGGACAAAACTGGGCCAATAGTTTCCGCAGTGGAATTAACTGGAGGAAGATTTTTATCCATAGTTGCAGTGTCTGCCTGAGTTTATGCAGTTCTGTCCTATGAAAGACAGACATCTGAACAGGAGCATATTATAGAGCCTATTAGTTTAAAAACATTTTAACTGACTGATAATCAGAGTCATTTTGTTGTTTATCTCTCTTTTATTCTCTTTTCTACTTAAAAACCCTAATGGAGATCAGGGACATTATTAAACAGGTTAAAATTTTTAAATTAAACTTGGTACTGATTTTTAGGTCACCTCATTCTTTTTTTGCACCTAAATTGCTCATGTAGATAGGGAAAGTAGGGTACTGAAAATTGGATGAAAAATCCTATTTATATTGTAGTGCAACATCATGTTTATGTTGTCGATTTTATACATGGTTGTGGATAAGGCTGCACAATATATCACAACATACATGGATGGCCTGCAGCAGATGATAACTAATTATTAAAGTGCAATATGGTCAGGCCCACTATGATATTTTTAATATCATATGTTCTTCATTTTGCAATATAAATGTATTTTGGTGGTAAGAAAGTGGTAAGAAACTACAATAAGTTTGTAATTTCCAGCATTTGAGCAGCAGACATCAACCAGAACAACTTTTTTTAGTAAAAACTTGAGATGAAAACATTTTTTCCTCAGACATGGATAGTCTATTTGTTTTCTGTTTACATTGTTTCGATCAACCAATAGCAGAAAGACATACACACTTGTTCATTTTTTTATTTTATATGTCCCAAGTTCTCACTACTATAGTGATAATTACTTAAATTTTTGCACATTGCATGTTTTCTAATATTTTGCAGCCCTAGTAGTGAGATAAACATGGGAAACTAAGGGGAAGTAACTGTTTCCCAATCTTGTAGTGTGGCATTTGAGGGCATTTCATGCATGATCCAGGGAGCAGTAATGTAAATAAGTGATAGCATGGACGTATATTGTCCTCAGCAGATGAAATCCAGCACACTATGGAGTGGTGATTGGTCTGCACTAGGGTTGTCAAAAGTATCGATACTCAAAAAAGTATTGATACTGAAATGTTGTATCCGGATACAATACTCGTTTTTAAAAGTATCGATACAGTGCTACCACCAGTGGCACCTAAGCAGTCATTCATCTAAATTGCAGAATAGAGGAAAATGCACTTTCAGAACACTGTGTGATTGAATAATTCTGTGCACTTTTCAGTTTCAGACTTTTGTTTTTGTAACAAGTGCAGTTGCTGAGAATTATTTGTGTTTCTTAACCGGTTTGGCTAGTTTCATTGTTATGTGTGCAAAGCATAGCCAAGGGAAGGAACACTTAATTTTAATTTTATAAGTTTTTTATCAAGCTTGCTTAATATTGTGCACAGCATACAACCTGAAAATATTGTTCCTATTGTTTATTCTATTTATTTATTGTATTTTATTTATTAATGAAAATATTTCTGTAGAATTTTTGAGTCTTTGTTGTTATCCTTGTGGTATCGGAAATGGTATCGAGTATCGAATATTTTCCTTAGTATCGGTATCGAGTTGAAAAGTTTAGTGTCGTGACAACCCTAGTCTGCACCTAAGCAGCTTCCATAAAATGCTGTTATGCGGTATTTGTGGATGTTTTCTACTTCACCATAGTAAAAAGAATGTAGTACTTTCACTGAGAAATACAGCTTAATTACTGTTTTCAGGAAGTATAGACTTAAAGTTAGACAAACATTGTTATTTTGTATTCACAGAGTCCATAGAATACGAAATAGACTCTGTCATGCTTTTTTGAGAGAAACACTTAAGTTACCAGTTTGTGTTGTCTTCCTTGGAAGTGTTTGTTCATAATATTTGAAGCTAGGAAGCTTCTCCGCCCCCCTGGTCCATTTCTGAGCAGCTGCTGATCTTCCTGTTGAAAATAAAGTCAATCATTTGTCTTTTTGTTCTTTAATGAGAGGTTATTGAGTGCCTACCATTTTGTATGTCTGCAAACCTGATCTCTATTACCATCTAATATGAGTAAGGGAGAGAAAGGTGGTTTTCATGAGCAAATTTTACAGTAATGTTTCAGAATTCCTCAAGTATACATGCAAAAGCATATTGAGAGTAGAGGCCAGGACTAAGAACACAGCCTTGGTGCACCCAAGTCTGCCCTCAATGTGGCTTAAGTAACTCTTTAAATAAAATTGAAATCAGTCCTCCAAAGAACTGCTAAAAGCAGTTGTTGCTACAAGGGTTAGCATGACCAGTTTTCAGATCGGGTATCAGAGGACTAAAGAAACAACAACAAAAAATAGAACCACTGAAACCAGATAATACCCTTTGGGCAGGTGTTGGTTGATGTCTTAAAAATTACCTCTTTATGATCTGTTTGACTCATTTGGCTGTAGCTTCAGATATTAAAGCTATTTTCAGCTGCTACTGTTGGTCTGGTTTCTTGCTTACTGCTGACTTATCATCACCCGACCACAAACTGATGATACATACAACCCTGATTCTGTTGGAGTATTTCTATTTTTTAAACAATCAATGGTTCATTAAATGTTCTCTTGAAAATAAAAAACAAAGTTTCTTTTTTTAAATTATTTGTTTCCCAGATCCTCACTCCCTTAAATGGCCTGGTATTTATTTATTTTTTCAGAAATTGTTTTAAATTTGTTTGATAATTTTAGGTGAAAAAAAATAAAACAGAGCTCTTTCTGACCCCTTTTTCTATAGCCCCGTTTTGTTTGATTGTACACGGGATAATTAAACTTGTGTGTATGGTGGTTTAGATTGATGTAGCATTAGCAACATTAGCAGTTTGTCATGGCTTACTTGGTGGTAACTCCATGAATGTTGAAATTGGCCATTTTGCTTGAATAGAGACAGTATGACGATAGCAAGGCACTGGGCTTTCCTTATTTGATCAAAGAAAAATCAAGCTACTTTCACTCCCTGGATTTTCCAGCAGGTTTAACCTGAAGCCTCACACAGACGTTTTAACAAAAAAAAAAATCAGATTTTAGACATATTACTCTTTTAAAGAAGATTCTTGGTAAGATTTAGGCCATCAAATAGATTTAACTTTTCCAATTATACTTGCTAGGGTTCTCTTATTCCAGATATCTTTTCTTTGTAATGTTTATTCACTGACTTTTCCCCAACACTGGACACCTCAAATAGGAGCTAATTGAGTTACTGATAATGTATATATTTTTGTTCATACAAGGTTTTACTCTATGATCTAACCTTAAACACAGATTAGAATTTCAGATCATAAGGTTCACCACAGTGGTCTGATTTTTTTGGAAACACTCTTGCTTATTTTCTGTCCGCTGTGAACATCAAGATAATCTCTTGAGTATTTTTTCACTCAGAGGGACAATTTTCTTTGTCTGCACTATTGTTGTTTTTGCTGCACGAGAGGTCACTGAATTCTTTACGAGTTGCCATTACCATTTCAAATGAAGCATGTGGATGTCAGAGCAGCGCCACGGAAACTCCTCCATCGACTGTGGTCAGTCAAAGTTCTACTGTGTGCCTCTTCTACAGAGAAAAGGGCGCTTTCATATGAATTCCTGGGGGGAAAAGGGAGGTAGCACTCAGCTCTCTGACTCAGACTGACTGTTACAAATTTCTGGGCAAAAAAAAAAAAAAAAAAGAATGATTACCCAGCTGAATGATTTACTTACTTATAACCTGTAGTGGATTAAAACTCGCATTTATTTGTCCATTGCTCCACCCCTCTGTATGCCCACCCATCAACCTTTATTTCTGGATGGATGAAGGAGAATTTTCCCTCCACCCTGTGACCCCAGGACGGAAATGCAACCCATATCTATAGGATGGACTTTAATACGATAAAAAAAAAAAAAAAAAAAAAATGTTGACAATGTAAAGCATAATTCAAATGAGTTTAGACTCCAAAGAAGCTACCATTTTCACATCTCCACAGCCTGCTCTAGATAAAGGACACCAAACAATGGCAATCTTAGATAGGATGTAAATACAAGCACTTGCCTCTCTTTGTTGTGTCATTAAAGCATCTCTTCATACAGCAGAAGCAGATTCGTTATCAGTTTTGATGGGCTTTATTTTCATAGACTCATAGTGGAAAGTAAAGTCTGACATTATGGCAGAGAATCCTTAACATATAGCTGACATTTCATGGGGGATTATAAGTGTTTTATTCAGTTATTTCATTTTAATAAACTGTTAAGTCCCTATTTTATTTTATTTTTATAAATATGTAGGCTGCTAGGTTGTTAATGAATGATAGAACTAAATTTTTTTATGTTCATCAAGCCAATAAAAAATGGTCGCATTTCAATTAAATGTAAGTCAGTTGATAAGTGATTGACTGACTTACAGTAAGTAAATCAGAACAATCCCTTTTATATTGAGCCTTTAGAGGCATTCAGGCATGTCGCTGAAGGGACTATGTCTGGTCCTGGAATGCATTGGGTTTAAATAATGGGAAGTTGAGGAAGTTTCAAGGGAGAAGGGAGTCTGGGAACCTCTGCTGAGACTGCTGCTCCATAATAAAGTCCTGATTAAGCAGGAGATGACAAAGTGTTTTAAAAACTCATGCATCCCTGGTCACACAGCTTTTCTTCAGTTTTGTCCCTCCAAAATACACTATCAAGATCCTAAATTAAATAAAATATAAAAAAAAAAGGCTTTTCGATCTTAAACCCCATCCATAAAACTGGTGGAACCTGTTCCTTTTTTAAATGCTTCTAGAGCTTTTTTTTAATTTTTGTGGCTTGACTAACGAGTGCTTACTATTTGGCAAAAGAAATTTACATTATTATGTGACTGAAGCTGCTTTTTCCATAAAGACCATAGAGTGTAAACAGCTTAAATTGCTTAGTGTGTCTGTGTAACTATATCTGCCTCTATTTGTGACCTGTGCGCTCTGTTCTTTGTGAAACACTATCTAATTGTGTGACCTGCTGTCTGCTTCTGCAGTGCAACAGACTGACTGAGGAACGAGATGAGGCACAGAGGCAGCTCAAACATATTAAAAGAGGTGAGTCCTGCTTCCTTCCTCCTCACCAGACATCTCCATTGTCACAGATACACAATGTTAGAATACAGAGAGGTTATGCATTTTAGCATTGCAGCGATAATTTCTCTAAAGCAACACCTGGCATGTAGGGAACAACACAAACATTTTAAATATTAGAATGTCAACTATTTGTTAATGCTGTTTCACCTAGACAAATATACTATTTCAAACGTACCTTATTTGTGAAAAGTCGACTTGCTACAGTCCCAGGAGCTACCCGGCCTTTCTTTGCAATAAGAACCACTGTCAGAAAATAAACATTGTTAAAAATTGTTCTTTTGAACAATCTATTTTTATTTTTCAAATGTTTCAATTTCAACTAAATACTATAAAGTTTATTTGCTGCACTTTCCTGTTAACTACTAAACCATTTTGTAGTAACGAAGAGATTTAATCCAATTTAATCCACATTAGTTTTTTGGAAACCAATACTTTTTTGTCACTTAGTGTTTAAAACTTAGCTAAATGTTGGAAAAATCACTCTACAGTCTACATGTTTCAGAAATCAATCTTGTATCATCTTATTGAATTATATGAATAATCATTCATCTGTGTTTTTTTTTTCATAAATTTAAGTGTTCATTAGATTATATTGTGCATATTTGAAAAGAATATACTATTTCTAAAATCGTACTTTAATTATACATACTACACATTCTACAAATGTCAATTCTTTATTTCCTAGTTACGCTAAAACACCTTAAAGTAAATTCCGTAAAAGTTCAAAAAATTCCACTGGACCTGGTTTCCAAGATTTGAAAATGTTTCGCTACCCCTCCAGGAAGCTTTCTCATTTCAAATGTCTGGATCCGCAGTGAGTTTGAGTCTTATATAGACAAAGCCTTGTATTGCTTGGAAACATGCAAATGGCAACTGATGAGTGGGTCGTTTGGTTCCATTATTAGCCTTTAATATCTGAAACCTGTCTATGATTCTGAAGGTCGGTTGTTAAAAGGGGGGATTGTCGTTAAAGGGGGGGGGGGGGTTGTCTTCGGTAATACCTGAAACCTGTCAATGATTGTTAAGGGTCGAGCGTTAAGGAGATATTGTTCACTGGCTGGAGCGGGTAGGTGCTTTGTTCTTCTGTGATGGGGTGGGGGGTGTGGTGATATCTGGAAGGGATCATCTCTATAACTGAATTGTAAGTTTTTGGAATCCACCACCTCTGTATAAAGTTGTTTTTTCTCTCTTGACATAGATGGCTTCCTTCACGCCCCTCTCAAAATGACATATTTAAACAATCTGGGAGAATTTAAAGTTTGGAACCGGTTCTGATCTATTATCAATACCCAACCATCGTCTATAAGTAATATTCAAATTCTAGGAAAGTAATTTAAATTACAGACAGCTGTATTTTGCATTAGTAATATGTTAACTTCTTAAAAGTGCTTTTTAAGATCTGAAAAAGTTATTAATGAGTTAAAGAAAAAAGTTATTTAAATCTGGAAAAGTAAATTGTAAGTTTGACAAATGTAAAAGTTAGCACCCTTTAGGTTCTGCCTACTTAAAGAAGTCATAACCTGCTATTTTACTTGTACAGTCTTTCTGAAAATTTCTTTAAAATCAGATTTAATCATTTTTATGAGAAAGCACACATACATAGAGATTATTTGGATCCATTGTTTTGTCGTAACAGTAAACACGAGAACTTGATTTGTGTGAATGTACAGTCATGTGGATGTAGCATTATTAACATTGGTAGTTGGTTCATTTGGCATCATTTCCCAGCCTTTTGCACAATAGGTATAACGTTACACAAGCAGCAACACTTACTGCCTGCCTGCAGCTGAGTCCCTGATTGTTGGGATTACCCCTTTTGATTGATTAAAGTTCGGTGTGATGAAAGTAAGGCAGGCCCTTAATTAATAAGTCCCTTAATTTGTATGCTTGCAACTTTCCAGGCAAAATGTGAATTCATCAAGCATAAACCAGACCTGATAATGGTGAGTAACTGGAAAATGAATTTAGGCTTCTAGGAAGTATCCTAAAAGGTCTTGGAGTATCCATTGTATATTTTGGTATTTTAGCATAACAGGCTCAATGATCACAGTAAACCTTCCAGTAAATTAACTTGTAAGTTAATAGAAAGTAACTGTCAAGTTCCAGGACTATATTAATCTCATTCAAAAGCATTTCCAGGAAAGTAACACACAACTTATAGAAAATTGTGGTTTTCTATTATCCTTCCCCTTGTTTCAGGAGCTAAAGGAAGACTACTAAGATCTAGGGCTAAATTAGTTAGCCAAAAAAAAAAAAATAGCATTTTTTCAACCAATATTGGTTGGTTGGACCTACCAGAAGCATGTCGATATTTTACATCAGGGTTTCATTGTTTTCATGACCTTAAAACCTTGCTTTTGTCAAGAGTCCATTGTCACAGGAGTTTGCTGTTACTGTTGAATGGGAAAGTGCTTATTTCTACTCGCAGATGGATCTGTCCATTAGCAGCAATTCTCTCTTCCCTTCTGTGTGGCAACAAAACCACTTTACCAACACCTAAAGGGTTGGAATTAGAGTCTTACTCTTGTCATATGTAACACTTCCAACATTTGCCATTTAAATTATTGCACTTAGTAAAATTGCAGTTATATAGCAAATACAATTAATTAGCTACCCACTATAATCCTTATAAATATTAAAAGCCAACTTTTTATTCCCACCTGTTTACCAAGGAACCTACTGACACCACCCTGCTCTTCTTTTTCCTCCCCTCCCTTCACTCATTTCCACCTCTGCTTGGATGACATCATTGACACCTTGTTCTCTTAACGGGTGTGTTTAAATAGGAGGAAAGGGCATGGCTTCTCTGTTTCTATGGTAACTGAGAGGTTACTTAGCCAGCAGTAAAGAAGCAATATGTTTAGAGGTATTTAACCTTTAAATACAGACAGTCAACTGTTGAAACAATTAACCAAGTGCTTAACTCCATCAGATATGACTATTTGGCGAGGTAAGGTAGACTTTACACCTTATCAGCTATTTGCAGACTTAGAATGAATTCGGATGTGTTAATTAAATATGCATACAGAGGATTTAATTATCTAAACCAAAATTCCTGCTTTTGATGGATATTTAATAAATTTATACTTTGACAGTTTCATTATCTCTCTTTGTAAAAGGAAGAGTTAATAGTTTACACAAATTCAGCCACCCGTTTGTGGTTTTAGAGAGACGTTGAAAAGGTAACTGGAGAGCTTAGCTGTTTCCATGTGGACGTGCAGCTCAGTGTTGCATTTCATTTACTTTTATTAAACCTCTCCTGTACTGACCAAAGAGAGGTTTACTAACTAAACTGTCATAGTAGCATTTCTGAAGCTAGAAAAGATCAGAAAACATGGTGAACAGAAACATATTGTTTATCTTGAAGTAATTTATGTTTTTCAACAATCGTAGAAGGACTTGTAAGATGTTTCCAACTTAAAAGCAATGCATTTTTGGAAATTGAAAATAATGATTCATTAATTGAAATGTACTGAATTTGCAAATCAGTCAGGAAAACATTTCTATTGTGTGTTACATACGAATTATTCTGGCTCGCTTATAAATCCAGATTAGTTTTCTATTAATTAGAATAAAGGAGGGATAACTGTTACTGGGAACATTGTGTAGATTTTGGAAAAAAAATCAAAATATTTATAATGGATATTTTGATCCATCTGAATTGGTATTCCCATTAGAATACATCACATTTCTACAACATAACAGAAGTTTGCTGTAAGTGAAAAGCTCTGACTGATATAGGTTATCATCTAGATCTCTCTTACAGTGATACCTGGTCACCAGTGCTTTTATATACTTGTTCAGTAGGCTGCCACAAAACTATGAATATAAAAAAAAAAAAACAAGCAGATCCTATATGTTAAAATTATCGATGAAACACTTTGCTGGATTGTAGTGAAAGACTTTCTAATTTTTTGCTTTGGCATTTTGCCACTCAAGATTTTCTTAAAAGCGTATGAAACACATTAAATGGACCACAGTACTTTGTTTACTGGGGATGCTGTAGATTACAAAATGTTAAGCCTGCAATCGCTAGATGTTATTTTTGACTGAATGCATTCTATGGTGAAAAGCTGTAGAACTGGAGAAAGTCTGTGCGACTGAAACATTCATCACTCAATTTCAAGACTTGTCAGTAGCTGCAGAATGGTGTCTAATGTTCTCAGAGTAGTCAGCAGAAATGCTGATCCTCCTCTTCATTGCAAGTCTTGTCACTGCGTGCGCTGAGTCTTTCATTCATTCACTCATTATTCATTCACTGCCCTGCCCCCAGAGGGAACAGCGCTTGCTCTTGTCATGTTATTCTCATGAATTATTAAAGCCTCCTGACATGAATTATTGAACAGCAGGAGATGTGGAAGGATTACTGTGTATTTAGGAAGGAGTTTTCACTCCTGGCTGACTGTCTGGATCCCTTCAAAGAGCCTCACTGCCTGCTAATTTTACTCTGATGGCCTTTTATCAATGGCTTGAATCAGATGAGAGCCATCGCGTAGAATGTTTAGCTCAGGCACATTTAAAACTCAAAGGTCAGACTAAGTGAGTTAAACACTAATTATAGAGTTAGGAACCTGAAATGAACACCATTAGGATGGAAAAGACTGATAAGACTAATAAATTAATGATGATGACAATCACATTGTTTAAGAGATTGTGAGGCATAGCATTTGCCAGTAGTCAATTAGCCAGTAGCTGAAACACAAGATTGGCTCAATGTTGTGTAAATGTTTCTAAACCTATCCAGGAGTCTTTGTCAATTCTGTAGGCTCACACTAGGTGGAGTGTTGATGGTTTTAAGCACCTGGAGGCCCATCCCCCTAAGCACATTCAAGTCAGATGCAAATCATTCAACTCAACTGGGTTGTTGGAGCGTATTGCTTTGCTATGGATTTTGTGATGGTGTGTGGGCCTGTGTAACATCATCAGAATAGATTTTGAGACAAAGTTATTTATTGGAATCG